TGAACTATATTGGCAACCTTCAGTAAATTATAAATTTCTATGAAAAAAGTACAGGCAACGTTCAACTTTGACATATGTTCAGTTTTACAGGGTTATTTTAATAGTTGCTTATTGGAAATTCAAACTCTGTCACAAAATCATGTAATATACTTACATGGCATTGAGATTTTCAAGCTGTCAATAAAAGCCTAACAAATAATGAATCAGGCTCTGAGTTAGGTGCTTATGACATGCAAATGAAAAAGATATAATCTCTGTGCTATATAGCCAACAATATACTCAGAAAGATGGGCAAATAAAACAAATAATTATAATACTGAACTCAAAGGTTATACAGGTGCACAAGGCAGTGCAGTTATATCAAGAAAGGAGTGATTGATTAACTCTTTGAGTTAAGAAGTTTTAAAAAAAAGTTGAAGAAAGCATCAAAGATTTTAAAGGGTCTTTTAATGGAATTAAGCATGAGCAAAAGTGTGCCAGCTGATGGGAGAGGGAGAAGACATTAAACCTGAGAAACAATAAGGAGTTCCTTGAAGAGTAAGGTGAGTATAACAAGTATAAGAAGGAAAGCTAGAAAATGGGGTTGGTCATAAACCAGGAGGCCTTGCATGGTATGCCAAGGAATTAGATCTTCTTTTCGCCAGAACTTCCCAAGATGTGTACCTAAAAATTGATTCTTTCTGCCTTCGAGGTAGCCTTGAAGAGAAATTCTTGGGTCACATAGGTGTGTGCTTGATTTTATAACAAACTGCCAGTTTTTGAACATGTGTGCATCATTTTCACACCAACCAGTACTGTATGCAAATTATGGTTGCTCTAGTTATGGCTATTGTCAATCTTCTAAATTTTAGCCATTTTAGTAGATGTCTAGTGGTATCTAACTGTGACTTCCATGATGAATAGTGATGTTGAGTATCTTTTCATATGCTTAGTGGCCATTCTTATAACTTATGAAGTGCCTGTTAAAAAATTTTTGCTCAATTTTTATTTGCTTTGTCTTTTTTTTGAAATCATTAAGTTGAGGTGTTCTTTATAAAGTTTGAATACGACCCCTTTGTCAGATACATGTACTCTATTTTCCTGCAGTCTGTTGCTTCCCTAATGTTCTATTTTGATGAACATTAGTTTTTAATTTTGATTAAGTTCAATTTATCAATATTTCTTCTTTATGGCTAGTGCTTTCAGTCTCCTGTTTACCCCAAAGTTGTAAATGTATTCCACTATATTTTTTTCTAGAAGCATTATAATTTTAGCCTTTATGTTTAGTCTATAATCCATTTTGAATTAGTATTTGTGTGTTATATGAGACAGGAATCAAGATTCATTTTTTTTCCATATGGATATTAATTTACTTTAGCATCATTTGATGAAAAGACTTTCCACTCCTAATTGTGTTCCTTTGGTGCTATTGTCAAAAATCAACTGGCTAAATATTGTCTATTTCTGGACTCTCTATCTTTTCCATTAATTTATTTATATATCTTTATGCCAGTACCACACTGTCATAATTATTATAGTCTTTTTTATACATTTTTAAAACTTATTTTTATTTTCAATTATAGTTGGCATTCAACATTATATTATATTGGTTTCAGGTATACAGAATAGTGGTTAGACATTTATATAATTTACAAAGTGATCCCCCTGGGTTAGTCTAGTACCCACCTGGCGCTGTACATAATTATTACAATATTATTGACTGTATTCCCTATGCTGTATTTTGCATCTCACGATTATTTTGTAATTGATTACTATACTCTTAAAGCCAGGCAGTGTAGGTCCTCTAACTTTTGTTTCCTTTTTCATTATTGCTTTAAGCTATTCTAGGTCATTTGCATTTTCATATAAATTTTAGAATCAGCACGCTGATTTCTACCAAAACCATTTGATGGGATTTCATTTGGGTTTTTATTTGTTTGACTTTATAGATCAGTGGGGCACAAAGTGTGGGCTCTCTCAGCAGCATCAGCATCACCAAGGAACTTGTTATAAATGCAAATATTCAGATCTTACCCCGGACCTAATTCTTATACTCTGGGATAGGGCCATGAAATCTGTGTTTTAACAAGCCTTCCCAGTGACTCTGATGCATGATCAAAGTGTAAGATTTACTGCCAAGGATCAATTTGGGAGAATTAATATCTTAGCAATACTGAATATTCCAATCCACAAACATATTTTTCCTCATTAAGTCCTCTTTAATTTCTCTCATTAATTTCTGTAGTTATAAGAGTATATGTCTTACATATATTATATTTTGCTTAAGTTTGACCAGGGTATTTTATGTTTTCTGATGAGATTGTAAATGGTGTTATAAATGCCATTGGCTAACCTTTAGCCACAGTGTATAGTAAGTAATGTGGCTGGAAGTCTATTTGGTGGTAGGAGTTCATGAAGAGTATAGAACTCAAATGATTTGTAGCATTGTGAAAACTAACTAGTTTTAACAGATATGCAATAATAAGTTGTTTCCAATAAATTGACACAAACATTAAGCATAAACAACTGCAAAGATCACAAAAAGAGGAACCATCAGATATTATATACTCTCTATGGTCTTGCCAAACATCTCTATATTCTCGACAAAAACATCAAACATGGGTGTACAGCTTCTGTATCCAGCTGTCAATTTGGAAGAAAGAGAGTGTAACATGCTAAACTACATGAACATAAAATCAGTAAAATCTAGGCTATGGCAAACTCTACAGGTCAAATGGGCTGAGGTTTATAAGGAAATAAAAAATAGAGGATGGACATAGAGATTGAAGAAGACTTAAAACAAATATAAAGATTTTACAAAATGGACAAGTCTAAACTATAACTTATTCTTGGGTGTTAAATTATTTTTTAAAATGTGAGGAAATGGTTACTATAAAAGTCAAGTTCAGGGCTGCTTTTGTGGGGAGAGAGGGTTGTATTGTGATGGGGCACATGATTCTGGAGTAGATGGCAAAGTTCTATGTCTTGACCTGGGTAGAATTTACCTTATAATAACTCATTAAGCTATACATTTAATTCTTGTGGTTTTCTGTACATATATCTTATATTACATTAAATAGGTTTTTTCTCCCTTAATATGACAAATCTAGAATCTGAGATTGAAGAGTTTACAAGTTTTAGTAGAACAGTGTTTGCTGATTATAAGAACTAAGGTATGACTACGGAAATGTGCATTAACTTGAGGCAGGGATACTAGAGTAGACAAAGTCAAAGAACTGAAAGCTAAGACCTTGGAAGCCTTTGAAGGGAGAAGTCTGTAATTCAGGTTCTAATCTCTGCCATCAGTGTTGGGGAGTGGCCTGGAGGTTGGCAAAGATAATTATGATGAACAAATAGAAAGAAATATACTTGAGTTGCAAAGGCACTACACTCCCCAGGGCACACGAAATGGAAGAATATTTTGGAAGGGACTGGGGGAAGGTAGGAGCAGTTGAACCTACTTTCTTTCATGGGTTGTGGGAAAATGAGCACAATTCTCTTCAAGAAGAGAAGAGACTCACGATATTTCAGACACAAGCAGATTTCAGTTGTGGCTATGTGGTAGAGAAAGTTCCTAAGACAACATTAAAAGGTGAAGGATAATTTGCTGACAAAGAAACAGAAATTCCTGAAACACAACGGAAAGGGTCAGGAGGGCGGGAAAGAGAGAGAGAGAG